GCTGGGATCACCCCAATTACTCTGGAGAAGGGAAAGCGTTTGCCCAAGGTCCCAAAGGGAAGCGCTCGCCTCGCTGCGGGGTGCAAATTGGGTCATTAAGCTCCGGAGCTCCCTCCGGGGCAGCCCGGCGGCTCCCAGCAGCTCGTCAAGCTAATTTGCATGGCGGCTGACGAGGTTTGCCCGTGCCCCCGAGCCCCGAGTTCGCTCGGAGCCGCCGAACGCCAGGAGCCTGGCGGAAAAAACCCCGCGGGAAGGACCCCGCGGGGCAAAACCCGGAGGCCCGGGGCAAACAAAAGCAGCACAAAGGGCAAATGAAAGGGCGGGCGTTGAGGGAACAACAGGACTTTCCACGCGGATGAGGCTCATCCATAGGAAATGCCGATGGCGGGGGAAAAATGCGGGCTYGCCGGTTCGTTATGGGGTGACTCAGGCGGCCGCGTGACGCTCCGGGAGGAAAAACACAGCGGGATGGATCCGGTTTGGGAAGGGAGAYGGGCAAACGGCAGCGAGCGAGGCGGGATCTGCGGGGCCGGGCTCGGGAAGCGACGTCCCGGCTGCGTCTTGGGTTGGTGCCGGCTTTTCCCGGGGGAAGTCGGAGCTGGTTTGCCCAGACGGGGTGTTGAGGGGCCCGAGCCGCTCCGCGAGCCGAGCGGGAGCAGGAGGAGAGGCAGCCCCGGCGTTTACTCCGTCGGGGTCCCACGTGGAGCAGCCGGCGCCACAGGGATTGCAAAAATAGGGAAGTTTGGGCGGATGAGCCCGGGTTTAACAAGGCCGAGGCTTTGGATAAGCCCCGAAGCGAGCGAACTGGCCCGCGGCGCAAAATGAGAGGCACTAACCGTTCCAAGGGCCGCCCGGGGCCAAGGCTTCCCCCGAGGCGACGGAAAACGCGGCTCCGGGAGCCCGCGTGGAGGCCCCGGCTGCCATTTAGCCCCGRGAGGGCAAAATTCCCACTGGGAATGGCCAAAGTTGGGAAGAAGAGGCTGCAAGACGGGTTCTACCGGGGAAGGAGGCAGCGGCCCCGGCCCGCGCGCACTCACGTCTTCATCCAAGCTGGTCTGCTCCAAGTCGACGAGTTTGAACTGGACCCGTTTGAAGATCTCCTCGAGCGCCTCGCACGCCCTGTAATCCAGCTTCTCCCCTGCGGAGGGAAAAGCGGGAAGCGACGCCGTGAGGCCGGCTCTCACCCGGACACGGCTCCGGCAAACGGACACGCAACAAAGGCGGCGAGAACGCCGCTCTGCAGAGCTCCCAGGGCCTTGGATACATCCCGCGCTCTGCTTCTCCTGGAGCAACTGGGAATGTTCCCGTTTGCTACCCGGGCCTTTCCCTGGGGGATCTGGAGCTCTCTGGCGCTCCGGTTTTTCTCCGGCTGGAAATCTTTCCCTGGCTCCGCGGGTTTCCCTTCGGGAGAGGCGAGCGGCTTCACCTGCACCCTTCTCGGGAGGCAGCGCGGGTTCACGGAGGCTTTTGGGAAGGCTGTTCCAATAAAGCCAGGAGGAAACTGCAGGTTTCCCAARTTCCCCCTTTCCTCCCTGCCCAGATGGGAGCCTACGGAGCAGGATCCCGCCTGGCAAAACCCAGCTCAAACGGCTGCCTCAGGCCCCGTCAAACGTGGCTTTTGGCGGAGCGTGTTTGGGCAAAGCCAGGCCTTGGGAGCTCCGGAACTTGGCTCTTCCCAAGAGGCCCTCGGATGCCGGGCGCTTCCCGCAGCGGCCGCTTTGGGAATTGCCTCGTGCCGCCCGGATGCTCCGTGGGAGGCAGCCGCCTCCGAGCGATGGGAGAGGTTCCAATTACCCTTCCCCGCAAAACCAGCGGCCGTCGGGCGCTCCGGGGAGAGGGAGCCGCTAGCGCGGCCTTCCCGTTCCCCGGGAGCGAGGCCGGGCCGCGCTCCGGAGGCCGGGATCGAGCAGCGCGAACGGAGGCAAACGCCGGGATTGCCCAAGAGGCCGGGTGGAAAGCGAGGCAGCGGGAGGCCGCGAGGAGGGGCCTCACCTTTCAGATCCAAGCAGTCTATCCGGGGAGCCAAATCCTTGAATTCCTGTTTGGGGGAAAAAAAAGGCAGCGTTTCATTACCAGGACCAGGGAGGAATTGAACCAGGAGAGGGGAAAAGGGGGCGAATCCTCCCCGAATCCAAGAAATCCTGCAAAAAGGGTCCCCTTGCTCTGCCTGTTCCCGTCCGCCCCGGAGCCACCGTTAAAACGAAACCGAGAGAGAAAACTGCTGCAAAAGCGAGCGCTTTTGGTCCCATTTTCTGCCTTCCAAAGGCGAGGAGGGGGAAGTGGGAACGGGAGCGTGCGGCAGCGCCCGCTGCTGCCCACGGGGCTATAATTATCCCGGCAGAAAAGCGGAGCAGCCGCTGCTGCCGGGCGCCTGGAAACCGGGATAACCCCCGGGGCCGGCGGTGGGGAATATTCCCGGAGCAAATCCCGCTCCGAGCCCAACGTGCTGYGGGAAACCGCCCAGGTGATTTAACCCACGACAGTTAAAACGGTTCAGGCAACGGTTACGATTTAGCTCCACGGTTCAGCCGAGGCTTTGGGAAAGGAGGGAATTCCGGAGGGCCGGAGGCGGGGCGGCGAGGGCTCTACCTGGAGCTGCTTGAGGAGCTTGGCGCTCTGCTTGCAGTTGAGCTTCTGGCAGGCTTGCTTGTAGGCGGCCACGATCTCYTCCACGGTGACGTTTTGGGCTGGAAACACCGGGAAACGGCTCGTGCCGCCGCTAACGCCCCGCGATTCCCAAACGGCCCGCCCCGATCCCCCGTTTAGCCCCCAAACTGGAGGTGCCGCTGGAGCGCGGGGAGGTTTCGGGAAGCAGAACCCGGCGCGGCTTCAAACGCGTCCCRAGCTGCGGGAACGGGGCAGCGTCCGGCGCCGCTCGGCGCTCCGGGCCGCAACGGGAAGGCTCCGGATGCGGCGCGATTCCCAAACGGAATCGCTGCGGAGCTGGCGGGTGCCGCCGTGCGGGAGCCTTGTGGAACAGAGYGAGGGGGGAATGTGGGAATTTGCTTCTCTAGGGCCTCAAAAAGAGCTCGGGCTCCGCGGAAGAGCAGGATCCCGGGATAAAAGCAGMCCCCGGGAGGAAATCCCTATGGAAAGGGAGGGATTGGGAAGGTCCCCAACAAGCCACGCGCAGGAAGATGCATCTTTGGGCACGAAGCTTCACGGAAACGTCCGCGACGGCACCGGGCGGCCGGTGTCCGGGCGTCCCCCGGCTCCGCACCGCGGCTCCCAGGGATGGCGCCAGCGGAATTCCCGCCTTTCCTCGAAAACGCCCCCCAAAAAAGCTCCCAAAAGAGCAATYTGGGAAAGCGAGGGCGGTAAACGGCGCCTGCGAGAGGCAGGTTATTGCAATCCCTGCGCCAAATCCCGGAGGAACGGCCCAAATCCGAACCGCTCCCGAGGCCCCGGGATTTTCCCGCCCCGGTTTCTTTTTGTCCYGCCTAAATCAAGCGCCGTTTTTTAAAATAAAATGGAATTTAGGAAGCGTTTCCCGACGGAGGCGCCGATGTTTTCCCGACGGATAAACCCCCAGAGCTCCTGTTTGCCCAAGAAAGCCGATAACCGCTGGGGAAGTACGGAAAAACGGGTTTGCCCGGATCGCTGCCCTCCGGGCACCGGGAATCTCCGGAGCGGCTGATAAACAAAAGGCGTTTTTGGAACCAGAGGCGCTCGGTTTTYGGGCAAATTGGGCTCCTCGGGACACTTTTGGGGGGAAAAACCTTGGGAATGGGCAAGCCGCTCTTGCCGCACAAGCGGCAACAGGCGGCGAGCGGGTGACAAGCGGCGGGAGGCGGCGACAGGCGGCGGAGGGAACAGGCGGCTACTCGTTACCGGGGGCGGAACGGCCGGAGCGGCGCTGGCGGATCCGGGTTTTCGGGAGGAAAAGGCGTTGGGGGATAACGGATCAACGGGACCGTGAAGCTCCGGGAAAGGCAGCCCCGGGAGCCCCTGCACGGTACCGGGAGCCCCGGCACGTTGCTCGGTTCAGCCCCGGGAGTCCCTTCCCGSTACCGGGAGTCCCTTCCCGGTACCGGGAGCCCCCGTACGTTACCAGGAGCAGCCCCGGGAGCCCCCGTACGGCACCGGGGCAGTCCCGGGAGCCCCTGCACGGTACCCGAAGCCCATTGACGTTACTCGGCTCAGTCCCGGGAGCCTCCATGTGGCACCGGGAGCCCCTGCACGGTACCGGGAGCCCCCGGGTGGCACCGGGGCAGTCYCRGGAGCCCCTKCACGKTACCCCCATGTTAGCGGGGGCAGTCCTGGGAGCCCCCGTGCGGCACCGGGAGAGGCCCCCAGAGCTCCCGTGCGTTCCCGGGGGCAGTCCCGGGAGTCCCCACGCGTTGCCATGGGCCCCCGTGCGTTACCGGGAGCCCCTGCACATTACCGGGAGCCCCCGCACGTTACTGAGGGAGCCCCGGGACTCCCCA